TGTGAGCGCCGTAAAAAAAATTACCAAAAAATAAAAAGAAAGAAAAGAAAAGAAAAGAAAAGAACCTGAGTCTAATCAAAGATCGTGTATACAAGATAGTTCACTCCTCTCTTTGAGCCAATTTTATAAAAGTGTCCTCAAAATTCGGTGGCGCCCTCTTCAAAAAAGCGCGGGCTTTGTGAACTGAGCCTCCCTACTTGTGTGAAAAACAATAAAAGTGAAACTAACAAACTGTGCTATTCCTTTTCTTCTTCTGGAGAAAGGAAAGAGAGCTTCATAACTAAGACTGCAGCGCCATCTGAAGCAATGCGCGGACTTCCGCGGACACTTTTTTGGCTGAGTGAGCAATCTTGTTATGCATGATCTTCGGTCTAATACGAGTAATATCAAAGAGCTTAACTACTACACCATAGGCACCGGTGCTTTTGTTTAGTTATTTGGTACAGGGGGGGGGGACTAAGATAGATGTGGGTGATAGAAGGGCGCCACTGGTAAGTCCTACTTCTTTACTTTTCATCTGTGTTTCTATCTGTCTTGTCTTACTTCTTCCGAACTCTAAATGACCAATATTTTGTCGGTGTGCTTCTCTTTACTCAGACGAACAAACAAATAAAAGAGAGAGAGGGGGGGAGGGAGAGAGGAAGAGAGGAAGAGAAAGAGAGAGAGAGAGACTTTATTGGGAAGGGGAGATAATTTAGAGAGATAGAGGGAGAGAGAGGGAGAGAGAGAGAGAGAGAGAGAGAGAGAGAGAGAGAGAGAGAGAGAGAGAGAGAGAGAGACAGAGAGACAGAGAGACAGAGAGAGAGAGAGCAAAGAGGAAGAAAAGAAGTAGAACCTACAGTGGCAAACCAACCGCTGTATGGATTGGCTTGCTGGATATTCCCTATTGGGGAAGTAACTCTGTCATTTCTGGTGTGTATTATAAGTAAGGGGGCAAATGGTCGCCCTTTTCATGTCATTTAAAAGTATAATACAGAGAACCCGATTTGTGACAGGTCAGTGCCTACTCTTTGTTTTAAGTCACTTATAAGTATATTACGGGCATAGCCTTGTGGCGTGACAGGGCAGTGTCTATAAATTTGGCGACTGTAATTAAGCTCGGCAGAAATGGATAAATTCAAGTAGTTGGATAGCATTGTCTCCAATTTGCAAGCTGCATCGATGACGTCCATCAAACAAGCGATGAACTGGCAAAATATGTAGGGGGAAAATGGCTTTGTAGTTGTTGTTGTTTTTTTCAAAACAGAAGTATTGCAATTAGAACCAGAAACTATTATCTTCATTCTTATGGCAAATTTTTGGGAGAAACTGATATAAATTCAAGTACTTCGGCTGCGTCAATTTCCAAAACCACAGCTGCATTGACTTTGTCCATCAAAGACTTAACAATGCATGGGAAGCTTTTGTAAAAGTAGAAGCCATCTGTAATCCAAAGGTCATCTAACCGAAAACTAAATTTAAGATAAATGATAGCATTATTCCTGGTAGTATTGCATTGTGGTTCAGAAATATGGGGGGAAACACACAAAACTATTGAAAGAAAATTAAAAGGCTTTCTAGCAAAATGTATACGCAGAATTATATTACGGAATAGACTGATTTTTTCAGAGATGGAGAGATGTTGGAAAAAGCTGGAATTAAAGATATCAAAGCGACCATAAAAGATAGAAGAAGATGCCTAATATACTTGTGACTCGTTTTGAGATTGCCAGAGACAAGATTGCCCCTTCACAAATGGCAGCTATAAGAATATAATCAGAGAAGCGTAGACGCAGACTGTGAATATAAGCATAGCAAGCAACGTTTACTTCACCAATTTTCCGGAAAATTCTGATATCGTATTCATCAAAGATATTCTTATCACAAAGCAACAACAAAAAAACGGAACAAATTCATCAAAATTTTCTTTAAAACTAATATCTACAGCTGATTGGCATTCTACGCCAGTCTACCACCAACAGACATTAGCTCCTCCCCTTCATCCGTCAATAAATCATTGAAATCTTTCTCCTGCCGCTGCTATCACTTTGCACTTTACACGTTTTGGGTTGGGTGTTGTTGTTTTGCTTGTTGTTGTTTTGGGGGGGTTGTTGCTGTTGTTGTTGTTGTTGTTGTTGTTGTTGTTGTTGTTGTTGTTGTTGTTGTTGTTGTTGTTTCAAGAAACAGGATGGAAAAGTGGTTTCACTAAGTCCGACACAAGCCTAGACAAGGGCGACAACTTGACATCAGAATGGGGTCATTGTCAAAACCCATCTTCGAAACCCATTCCAACTAGGTGTAGAGACTGCCAGGTACTTCGGACTGTCTTAAAACACTTTTATTAGACATTTATACGATAATGGATTACATGATTATCGCCCTTCATGTGGAGTCATTCTAACCCTGTTTCCTCGAAGAGATCACCAAATTTAGGCACAACAACATTTGCAATAAAACTAAAGACGTTGGTAAAGTGTTCTTTTAAGCAATGGTTAAAGTTTTTAATTCGTCGCATTGATGGAAGAGGAAAAGTGTTTAAAAGTATAAAAGAAGAGGATAAAAATTTTACAAATCCAACTTCGCTCAAGTG